GGAGGGGGAAACGGGGGAGCTGCGAGGGCCAGGACGGGGAGGGCGTTCCAGGTCTGGGGGAAGGCGGGGGGGCGGCAGATGGGGACAGCACGGTCACAAGGAGGCAGGGACGCAAAGGGAGGAGGACGAGTGGCAGGTGTTGCGGCGAATAGCCGGTCAACAGAGGGGCCGCAAAAGGAGGTGGAGAAAAAGGGAGTAGAAGTGACGGCCCGGAGCGGGGACGGCGGGGGGGGTCGGCGGCGATACTACAACAATGGAAGGGATGCGGCAGACCACAGGGGGGAGGGGGGGAAAATAGGCATAGACGCCGGGCGGGGGGAGGAGAGCCCTAAGAAGAGGGCCGGCGGCGCACGGGCGGCAAAGGCTGGAAAGAGATCGGGCCAGGAACAAGGACAAACAGGGACACCCAAATGTAGGAAAAGAGGGGAGGGGGGGCCGCCCGGGCCAGAAGGCGGAGGGGGGAGAGTACTGGGGGAGGAGACGGCGAGGGGGAGGAGAAGCACGACCCGTGGGGAGAACGGGCCCAAAAGTCGCTGGGGGAGAGCGGCGGCGAGAGCAGGACACGTGGCGAGAACGGCGGCTGTGAGGGGCCTGGTGCGGCTGGAGTCGATGGCCAGTGGAGTGGGGGCGTGGCGGGCGCGCAGAAGAGGGGGGGGAGGAAGCCCGGGGGAAGGGCAAGAGGAGGGAATCACGCCTAGCATCAAGGCGGGCCGCTAGCGGGCGAAGGGGGGCAAGCGGCAGAGCGGGGGCGGGGAGTGCGGGAGCAGCTCCGGCAACGGGAGGCAAGGCACGCGGGGCGGGGAGGAACAACTGTTCAGGGGTACCGGGAAAAAGCAGCAACAAACAACGAAATGGGTGAGTGCGGACCACGGAGACGGACGGGGGGCGACGGGACCCAAGAAAGCAGGGCAGTAAACGGAGAAGGCGGGAGGGGGACGCGGAGCGGGGGAGGGAATAGATGACTAGGAGTGGGGGGCCGGCGGGGCAGGCAGCGCAGAGGGGAGCGTGGGGAACTGCAAGGGGGGGGGAAGCAGCACGAGCGGGGGGGGCAATGCTGAGGGAGGGGGGGAAATGGCATGAGGATGGAGCCGTCCGGCGGCCAGGCCCAAAGGGCGGCAAGGGGAAGGGCGGACCAGAAACACACAGAAGGCCGGCGGGTACGCCAATCAAACAATCAGACAGAGGGGGCGGGCGGGAGCGGTGAGGACAACGTCCGGCGGAGATGCATCGGGGACGGGAAGGGAGCGGGAAAAAAAGGCGACGGAAGAAGAGCCGGGGGCGCAAAAAGGGGCGCCTGGAGAAACAAAGGGAAAGGGGGAAGCCTGCGACAAATGGAACAGCGGCAAGGCGGATGGCTAGGGTGCACAGGGGGCCGTGGCCGGGTGGGCAGGCAGATCGAGCGGTGCCACCGAAAAACGGACGGGGGCGGCCGGCGAGGCGGGGGAAGCAACTGAGACGAGCGGGAGGCGCGGGAGGGGGCAGAGCAGCCCGAGCGAAAGACTTCAAAGTGCGCCGCACATAAAAGACGAAGGCGGGGAGGGACCCAGACGGGTGGGGGTCCGGCGAGAAGGGGAGGGCATGCCAAAGACCCCCGAGAGCCGTGGACTCAAGAGGAAGGGGAGGGTGAACCGGAAAAACGGTGAGAAGCATTAACGCACGGGCGTAAAGAAGAGATGCGGGGCGGGTGGGGAAGCCGGAGAGGGGCGGGATGGCGAGGAAAGAGAGCAAAGTCGGGACGGACGGGCCAGCGGGGGAGGCAAACGCGACGCAAGCGGCGGCGGAGGGAGTAAGCTGCCCAACGCCCCAAGGCGCGAAGGCGGCCCGAGGCAAGGAGGGAGGAGGGCCACGGAGAGCGAGGGCGGGGTGGGCAAAGCGGGGAAGGCCGAGACGAGAGGGAGGCGGGGAAGCTAGGACGGGGGCGGGCAAGCAATCACCCGGGGGAGCGCCAGGCCAGGGTCGCGGGCAGGAAGGGCTGGGCCAACGCCGGGGCGCAGGGGCGGACGGATTGGCACAAAGGGACACTGGGAACGGGAGGAAGGAAGGAGGAGGAGAAGGGGAGGGGACAGGGGGGAGAACAGGAGGAGCGGAGCCGAGCCCGGCTGAGCGCCAGGGGGGTGGCAGGTGGCCAGGGAGCCAGGAGGGGGAGGAAGGGGGAAAGGATGCCGATGACGGCCAAGGGAGGGGCGCGAACCGCGCGAGCGTGCACGCGGCGGGAAGGCGAATAGGGGCGGCGGGCAAAGGACGCATGGAGGGAGAGCAGGGGCAAGGGGGGGACAGGGCGGCCGGGCAAGATAGGAACGGAGAGGGGCGCGGGGGGGGAGGAGGGGGCCAGGTCGGGGGACATAGGGCAGAAGACGGGGAAAAGAGGGGGTGAGGCGGAAGAGGTGGCAACGGAACGAAAAGAGCGAAAGAACGAGAAGAGACCGCGGCGGCGTGGCGCGCGCGCATGAGAGCAGGCCGCAGGGGCGGATGGGGGGGCCCGAGGAGACAGAGGAGGGCCGGGTGCTGGCGGATGTAAGTACGCGCGTGCTACGAGATGAGGCGGCGGGGCAGGGTGCGAACGGGCGGAGAGGCCGGGCGGGGGCGGGGTGGAAGGGCGGCGCGGGCGACGGGGACGCAACCCGGTGGAGAGGGAGAAGGAGCGAAGGGGAGGGCACACCGGGAGGGGACAGGCGGCCAGAAAAACTGGGCCAGGCGGGCAGACAAGGGCGAACACACAGGGTGGGGAGCGGCGGACCGGGTCCCGGCGGGAGCGGCGAGGCGCGCGAAAAGAAGGCCGTGGGGGAGCCGGGGGTGCGGGGCAGGAACGGCGGGAAGGGCCGAAAAAAGAAGGAAAAGGGGGCGGCAGAGAAAAAAGCAGGAGGGACGACGGACGGAGAGGAGGAAGGGGGGGGTGCCAGCAGGGCGGAGGGGCGGCGAGCACGGCGGTGGCATGGCGGGGCGCAGCGTCGAAGAGACGCGGTGAGAGCAGAAAAGAGGTAGCCGAGAGAAAGGGGAAGCAGCTGGAGGAGCGCGCAGGGCGGGACAGCAGACGCCGAAGCGGGAGCGGAGGCCGCAACACGGGAGGGAGAGTGCCGGCGGGAAGGGGCGGGCCAGAGCCGGGAGGGCGTCAAGGAGGTGGGAGCAAGCGAGCGGCCAGGGCGGGAGGCGGGCGGGGCGGATGAGCGGGGAAAGCGGCGAACCCGGGCATGGCAAGGGGAGGGGGCGGTGTCGGGGGCGGCGCCGGCACCGAGACGAAGGAGTGGAGCCAGAGGCGGGGGCCGGGGGGCACGGGCGAAGCGGGGGAAGAGGGGGGCAGCGACCGGGGGGAACAAAAGGGCCGGGGCAAAGAGGGGCCAAGGGAGGGCGGCCGCGAGCGGCCGGGGCCACGCCAGTGGGGGCGGGGAAGAGAGCGGGGAGCAGGGGGAGCGCGGGGGGGAAGGGGAGGAGCGGCACAGAAAGGGAGAGACGGACCAGGGGCGGGGGAGGACGGCCCACAGGGCAGCAGGGAAAGCAGAGAAGGGCACCGGCAGACGGAGGGGCCAAGCAGCAAAGGGAGCAAGGGAGAAAAGCAAAGGGGAGCAAGAACCAGAGCGCGCGCAGCGGGAAGGGGGGAGAGCGAGCGAGCAGGCAAGAAAGGACGCAAAGAGACAACCGCGCGGAGACCACGGGTGGGGGCCGAAAGGGGGGCGAGAAGGCGAGAGGGGGGGGGGGGGGAAGAGACGGCGCGAACGGGGCAAACGGCGGCGGCAAACAACACGGGGGAACGGCAACGCGAAGGAACAAGCAGAAACAAGGAGAACAACGGAGAGGGGGCACAGCGGAAAGGGAACGGCAAAGGGGGAGGCGGGAAGGGGGAGGGCGCAAAGAGAGAGGCGAGACAGGCAGCACGGGAGAAACACGGGAGAGAGAGGAAGGAGGAGGGAGAGAAAAGGGCACGGGCAGGCAAACGAGGGAACGAGCAAACCCAGACAGAGAAAGAGACGCAGAAACCGGAACGGGGGAGGGCACAGAGAGAGAAGCAGGCACGAAAGAGAAGGAGCAGGAAGGAAAGAGAGAGAGAGAGGGAGAGGGGGCAGAGGGGGGGGAAGCCGCCGAGGCCACGCGGCGCCGGGCACGCAAGGAGGAAAGGCACGAGGCGGCGAGCACCCAGAGACAAGAGGGAAGAAGGGGCCAGCGACACGGCGCCGAGGGCGGCGCACAAAGCGACACGCCACCAAGGGGGGCGCAAGCGCCGCGGGGGACGCCGCCGGCCCGAGGACGGCGCACCAAGCGGGACGCCGACACCACGAGAACGACGCACAAAGCGACGCGCGCACCGGGGGGCACAAGCGCCCCGGGGGACGCGGCCCGGGACAACGAGGGCGACGCACAAAGCGACACGCCAACGGGGGGGGCACGCGCGCCGAGGGACGCGACCCCGGGGCGACACGCAGGAGAAGAGGGACAAGGAAAGACAAAGAGGGCGCGCCGCAGACGGGAAGGGAGCGGAGAGAGCGCAAGAGAGCACGGGGAGGAGGGAGAAGGGCGGGGGGCGCGGGGGGGGCGAAGCGGGCAAGGGGCGGGGCGGCAAGGCGGCGGGGGCAAGGGAGAGCCAGAGGAAAGCGAGGGGCCGGGGAGCAACGGGCGAGCGCGAGCGGCCAGGGGAAGGGGAGGGGAGCAAAGAAGGGGGCCAACGGGGGCGGCAAAGGCAGGGCGCCGGCGGGCAGAAGAGGGGAAGAAGGGGCCGGGGCGCGCGGGAAGCGGACAAAGCGGGGCCGGGGAAGGGGGAGCCGCCAAAGGGGAAGGGCGCGGGCAGGACGGGGGGAAGGAGGAGCGAGAGGAGGCCAAGGGGAGCAAAGAAGGGAGCGGTGAGGGGTGGCGGCCAAGGGAGCAAATGAAGGGAGCGGCGGAGGCTGGCGGGAGGAAAAAAGAGCGCGTGGAGAGCAGCGGCGGCGTGCGCCGGCGACGGCGGCGGCAGAAACAGAGCGGCAAAAGGAGGGGGCTGCGAAGTGCGAGCAGGAGGGCAGAGCGCCGGGGGAGGAAGGCAGGGCGCCAGAGAGGCAGAGCAGGGAGCAGGGGCAGCAGCAGGAGGAGCGAGCGGAGCAGGGGCCACCGGGGAGCAGGGACCAGCAGGGCCAGGGCAGAGAGGGCGAAGTAGCAGGGGCCACCGTGGGAGCATGGACCAGGGAGCACGGTGCCAGGGAGAGCAGGAACCAAGAGAGGAAGGAAAAGCGCGGGCAGGGGGAAGTCAAACGGGGGACCAGTGGCGGGCGGCAAAGCGGCGGCCACGTGGGGGGAGCCAAGGGAGCAAGCCAAGACGAAAGGCGGTGGGACGGATCGCCGCCACGGGGCGCGACGAGCTGGAGCACAGGGGGAGGGCGACCCGAGAGGCGGGACGGCAGCACCGAGAAGCGCAACGAGCCCACGATAAAAGTGGCGGGCAGGAAGAGGGAGAACCGGAGAGACGAGCAGGAGGACAGCAGCGCCGGAGAGGGGACGGCACGAGAGCAAGGCAGCGGGACACCAAAAGGTGGCGAAGGAGAAGCAAACGGGAGCAGCGCACAGGAGCAGGACGGCAAAAGGCGGCGACCACGCGCGTCCAGCGCAACCGGGGGAACGGGAGGCGGCAGAAAGCGGTGGAGCGAGTGAGCCCGCGGGCAGGGAGCGGCTGGAAAACGGCGGGGGCGGAGACGGCAGGGAGGCGAGGGCAGGGGGCACGAGACGGGGCGGGAACCAGAACGGACGCAAAGAAAAGAAAAAGGGGGCGGCACAAAAGACAGGGGGGCAGCAAAACGGAGACAAGAGAGGCCAACAAGTGCCCGCCGGTGAGGAGGCCGAAACGGAGACCCAAGGCAGGGGGCGAGGCAAAAGGTGGGGAAAAGAAGCGTGGTCCAAGGGAGGCGACGAGCCAGGGTGACGGGCGGGAACATCGGGAAGACCGTAGAGAGGAGAATGGGGGACCGAAACGGAGAGGAGACGATGAACGCGGGGGGCGGATGGAAGGGGAGCGGGAAGGGGCGGCCCCCGGGCAAGGGTGAGGGCGCAAGGAGACGCCGCACAGGCAGATGACGAAGGCCAAGGGAAAAGCGTGGAGACGGGAAAGCAATGGAACAGACTAGACAAAGGAAAGAAAGAAAACCAGAGTGCGAGCAAGGGAGATAAGGGCCAAAAAGCAGAAGGCGAACAAGCGAGCGAGAGGGACACCAAAAAAGGGAGGTCGGCAAAGGGTACCGCTGGCCAAGGAAGGCAGGCACGGGGGCCCGGAAGGCCGGGAAGGCGCGGGGCGTTGCCGGCGAGGTGGGAGGGCGGCGGGGACGGGCGCAGGGAACAGTAAGGGCCAGAACCGGGTGAACAGGGGCACCGTGAACACGCCGGCGTGGGGACCAAGCAACGCAGGCGGCAAAGGAGCGTGCCAGCCGACCAGGGCGGGGCGGGGGCCCAAAGAAGGGCGCCAACGCGCGGAGAAGCGGATGGGTGTGGGTCGCAGAAGTGAGTCGGGAAGGGGAGGAGGGGGGGGGGGCGAGGAAAGGCCAGGCGGGAGGCGGCAGCAAATAAGCCAGGATGCGCCGGGGTCCGCGGCGTGGGAGGCGCGGGTGGGGGGGACGCCGCGCGGGCGCGGAGGGCGAACAAGCGCAACGAGGGGCCGGGGGGACGCGGCCAAGCAAAGGCGGCACCAAAGGACGTGGAGCGCCGCGAGCGCGGGCCCCGGGGCGGCAGCAGCCACAGAAGTGGGGAAACGCGCCGAAGCTGGGGCGGGGCGGCGGGGGACGCCAAGGAAAAGAGCAGGGGCACGCCAACGGAGGAGTAGGCACCGGCAAGGGGCGCGACCAAGCAGAGCCGCGAGGCACACGCCGGGCCGTGCGGCCCTGTAAGGCAAGGACAGCGGCAAGACGGCCGAGGACGCGCGGCGGGGGGGAGACAGGGGGGCCATGATCACCGGGGAGGGAGCCGGGCCAAGGAACAAGGAGGCGGCCCTGGCATGAAGTGTGGGGGGAAAGGCAGCGAGGGGGGACAACAGGACCAAAGGGGGGGGACGGGCGAAACGCGGGAAAGACATGCGCGGCGCAACGCGTGGAAGGCCGGCGGGTACAGTCCCCAAGAAGAGTGGCGGGCAAAGGGCAAGAGGAATGGAGGAAGAAGGTGACCGCCTGTGGGGACGCGGCGGGGGGGGCTCGGCAGGGAGTGAGGCGGGGGCCACGGAGGGGGCAGCCGCAAGACACAAGGCGCGCAGCAAGTGGAGGATAGGAGTGGGCCGGCAGGACAAGGTGGGCGGGCACGGATTGCGAGGGACACGGCAAGGGGGAGCACAGGGGCGGGGGCGCCAGGCGGCGGTGCAGCGCAACAGGGGCGGCCAAAGGTGGCAGGCACGAAGTCGGGACAGCGGAGTCGGGGGGGGGGGAAAGAGCAGCAAAA